GTACTTTGCAGCAAATCAATTCAGCTATACCTCTGCATACCTTACCAGTCAGTGCCAGCTTATGACAGAATCTGAACAGTGCAGAGGGAAATCCAAATCAATCCAAAGATTGAAGCCTCTGTAAGACAGCAGAGATCACAAAACCTTAAGGCAGGTTTGTGGACTTTCTCAAGTTGTCCTCTGTTGCTTAGCAAGTGTGTCCTGCTACAAATGTACTGCTGACACTGCTGGAAACATAGCAAGGCATCACTTTCAGAAACTGCAGACATGCAGACATTGCTAAAACATTACCTGAAGCTGCTGGCTGCTGAATGCTGGAGTGGATCAGCAACTGCTGCTCATGAGATCACCAACAGTGAGAACAAGAAGTGTTTAAAATCAAATCAGTGATTAATACACAACCACATAATAAGCTTTGTCAAACAAACAGACTTTACATAATGTCCCAAAATACTTTAGCATTAGATAACAGGGTGAGGAAGGGAGGGATTAGGTTGCATCAGCAATGGAAAAAATATCTTTGAGAGTTCAGATGTGTAAGCGAAGCATAAAGCAAGGAATGCGGCAAACAGGAAAGGCTGCACTGAATGAGGGACACACCTTGAAAAAAGATTTATCTACTAGTGATAGCAAGACTATAACGCAAAGGGAAACTAAAGCCACATATAACAGTAAAAGAATGGGAAAGCTCGGTGATGTATCCATAATACAGCTCTCACAAACTACAATCTCACTCCTGAGAACAATTTCACGGAGCACTTGACAAAACTACATCTGTGTATGGTTACATAGCAGAAAAGGGATTACTGAAAGGAGAAAGACAGCAATTGCCAATCAGAAATCCCATTTAGGCTCTGGAAGGCAAAGAAGTGCCCTATGGAGGCAGAAGTGGAAGCATCTCGCTAGAGTTAACCCAGGCCAAGACTCAACACTTCCTTACCCCACACAGCCAGGGAACAGCTCTGATCACGTCCTGTGCAGGACAGCAGAGCAGTGTTCACATCTGACAGGAATTCAAGTGAGCTCATGGCAGTTCAAATCTTGCAGCTCTGAGGGAAACTGCCATGTAAAGACCACAGGAGGAGGAGGATATCCAATTGGTTTTTAAAACTTCACTTGAATTATTTTGCAGCTGTAATTTAGTCACTCTGGCACAAAATATGTGGTACCACCCTGACAAATGAGTTCTAAATAATTGAACTGAAAATCAGAGCAGGTTTCAACAGATCACATTATAATTGCAGCTATTAACAACACATTTTTCAATACAACACAAGTCAGGTTATAAAAGTGTGAGAATTCATCTGAATGCTAGTAATATATTTTCAGCCAGAAGCTCTTCAAGGCCATAAAGTTCAGCCAACCCCAGATAAAAGTGATACACATTTGCCACCATGGGACCAACTCTGGCAGTTGCTGAGGACATGCAGTTTTCATCACCTTTCTAGAACTCAGCTCCATGTGTTTGGTTTCTTCAGCAATTGCACTTACTCATCTTTGCATCACAAACCTACTTGTTACTATAATGATACGAGCAATTGCTAGCACTCTTAAATCCTATTTTCACAGCAGAGGACAATTTTCTCTCTCTTACCTTAGGTTCTTTTGGCTGACTTTGCTGGAATTATCCTGTCAAAACGATGTAACTAACAGTTATTTTCATCACAAAACTTACAATCACATTTAAACCCCTTGCACGTATTTAGATTAAAAAAAACAAAGCAGCATGTTCAGCCTTTTATTTCTTACACCAGCCCAGAAGACAAGCTTGAAACCTAATACCTTAAGTTTATCACAGTGGGCTACAAATATAATCTCAACCTGTTTAAAAAAAATCTGATGACTCAGCTAACTGCTGAACTCAAATGGTAAGCATTTGTGAACCAAACAGATTTATCAAATGAAGGAATAAATATAATTTAAATTAATCACTGTTATTGCTAACAAGATTAGATTAATCTGCAGCAAAATGAGGTGCAAAAGTTGCAGAAAAAAGGGTCACTCACACTGAAGATCAAAGTCACCATCTTCAGAAAGCTGCTTTCAGAGGAAGGGTATAGGAAATATTGCATAAGGTATGTCATTAACATTTGCACTGAAAAAAAAATTTAAAATAATAAAAAAAAGCTATTGCAAATATAAGTATGATTTTATCAAGAAACAGATTTTTTTTCAAGCTGTTGCAAGAATTTAACATTTTGACAGACTTGTTTCTAATTCTGGAGATATTTGTGAATTAAGTTAAGAGTAAACTGCTTTCTTCTTTTGAAATTTTCATGTGTCTTCAGGAAGACAGTAAGGACATCAAGTCAAAAAAAAAAAGCCAAATTGGACACTTTGAAAGTGGGGTTTGGTGGGAAGGGAGTTGTTTTGTTTTGTGCATTAGGTTTGGGGGGCTGTTATTGTTTCAGGCTTGGTTGGTTTGTTTTTCTTAACTGGCAGCAGAAGCAGTGTAGCTCTTGGACACTCTATAGTGCGAGCCAGTGAAGGAAAAACCAGTATCTTCATTTATCTACAGAAATCAAGATATTATATCTTCGAAAGCTTACTCAGCCCTTAGTACTATTTTCTTCAATATGGCAGACACAGAAAACATTTCAGTGAACACACACATTCAGCATATAATGTACTGTTAATAAAACATATCAACAACAGATAATTCACCATAATATAAAGTGACTAGGCTATATAGTACTGAGATTTTTGAGATTTGATTCTTACAACAGTTATTATATCTCTTCCTTTTTTCCCTCCTACGTTTTTAGAATAAAGACTCATATTTTAAAAACCTCTGTGTACATCTGTGTTAAAAAAGTCACCTAGAAATTCACACTTTACACAGAAGGATAAAACCTCTTAATCTTTAACAGGTGCATTTTGTAGAGGAAAATTAATTAAAATTGCTTAATTGAATGAGATCTAAGGAAATCTGAAAAAACTTTAATACACCTCTTCTCACTGTTTTTCAAGTGAGTTAAGTAATAAGATTAAATATTTTTTAAAAAATTAAATAATCCAAAATATCTTCCACACTGGCCGTCTGCAAGATAACTGCAGAACTGAAAATGTTTTAAATTTCTTTAGTCATAGTATGCTTCCACAGTTGACCACAGTTTATCCACAGTTTGCCTCAAGAAAAGGATCTGTGTAGACAAACTGGTGAAGTTGTCTAAATATAAAGTTCCAGTCTCCATTGAAAATTATAGACACTGTAAAAAACAACTACTCTTACAAAAGCTTGTAAGGAATTGTTTGTTAAAACAGAGCTGAACAACCCCAGATGAAGCCAGTACTTTCACACTTAAGTAACAGGATCCCCTGTTCACCTGGTTTGTGGATTCATGCTCACATCATTTGTGTAGTGTTCACAAAAACATCTTTGTATTCAAAGAGAAATGACAAATTCAATAACTAAAAAGTTTACTATGTTATAGATGTTATAAAATGTTATAAAAAATGTACTTTTTCAGCCACTTTCTAAGCAAAATGACACAGCTCACATTGGAAAAAAAACCAATCAAATGAGTAAGAAGCTCTCACACTCACGAGGCACAGCAGCCTAAGAAAATTTACAGGAGGCCAAGCACCTTTTTTCTGCTGCTCAGCTTCTGTTGCAGTTCTGGAACCTTCACTAGATATTGCACAAGACTAAAGTCTGCTCTATTTGATATCTGTATTTTTCACAGTATTCTCTTTCGTTTCCAAGCCAGTGCATATTTTTCCAATGTCAGTCTATTTTAACTGAAGTTGTCTATGTGAAATGTCGGCACAGAATTGAAGCAATTACATGGAGCCTTAAACATAAGTCTAGAAAAGATTACAAGATTGTATTTTAACCACGAATACATCCATCAGAGACAGACCCAGGAGAGCTGTTCAAGACTGCTTAAGGCAATGTTTGCATTCACAACAAAGGATTAGGACATGGCCTCCAACTTTCAGGCACTGAAAAAGAAGCCTTGTCTGAGGCAGAGAGGTTGGCAGCTGTCACATAATTTTGGATCATGCAAACACTAGCCCTGCAATTCAGGTCAATGTGAACAGAAGGTAAAGGTTTGAAAACAAGTAGATGTTTTGTCAGCATATTAACAACAAATCATATCTATGGGCAGCAGTATCTTCAGCCATTTTATGTCCGTTTAGCTGCGGAAAAATAAAGTCCAAAGATTTTTATTTCTCTTTAACTCTACCTGCAGCCACACATGCTTAACTGTGACTTACAAGCGTAAGGGTGAAATTTTCAGACTTTTTGTTTTGAATGTTACTATTTCAAAACTCTTTTTACAATACTCACATAACTACATTCTTTGTTTAAACACCTGGACAGAAATACTCTTTCCAGAACAAGGGCTAAATCTATGTCTGGCATGTAATATTATAAAAGAAAATTGAATATCAGGAAACACCTGATCTGAGCTAAAAGCATCTCTTCCTAGTGTTCAGTCATTACTTCAGTTCTACTTTGCTGTGATCAGAAGATATGCAATGTATGGCTGTTACCTACCTGCCAGAACCTGCCTATTCTGATTTTATTCATCCCCTATTAGATGCTGTTACCATGGTGTGTTTTTTCAAGAGAAGGTAAGGTGCAAATCCTTATGACTAAAGGCTATTAGTAGTTATGCAGATTACAAGACTTGTCCATCCACAAACTGGGTTCAAGCTGAAGCTGACTATTTGGTATCTGAGAATAAAGAAACTGATAAAGCAGAAAGTCAGTACAAAATAATTACCTTCCCTAGGCTTTTGGGTAACTCAGTGAACAAAAGAGGCTGGACTGTCTGAAGGGTAAAAACTGAGAACATTCTACAATGTGCCTTTGAACTAATATTCTCACTTTTCTCCAGTGACACTCCCTTGTAAATATCACTGATAGACTCATTCTTCAGTTCAAGCCTCCACCCAAACAACTGCATTTCCATTTGAAATCCTTAACAACAATGGGCCAGAACACGAAAAATATTAACACAAACCAACATCTAACTTCTTGTGTCCTACAGGTTGTGAACATCTCTGGTATTTATACATCCAAGGAGAGGCAAGAACATAAACTTATTCTCAAGGTGGGTATTTGAAACTATCAGGTGCATGTGACAATTTTAGTCAGAAATCCAAACCTTATATGAGGACTTAACTAAACAGAGTTAAGAAGAGCTCTGTGCACCCGTTACACACAAGCGAAGTTACAGAAATTGACCTTTATTTAGTAATCAGTTTCTTTAACTTTTTTTTTTTGATACAAAGTGACATTTTCATTTAGTACAGAAAAATCCATGTCAGAACAGTACCTGTCTGTTTCAGTTTTACCACTGGAGTCTACTCTGATCTCAAACTTTAAAAAACAAACAAAACAAAAAATTGAGATAAACAAAAAACTTCTGTCCCTCACCATGAGAAGTACTTCAACTACTAAATCATCCATTCAGTTTCATATTTATTAACTTATATATACAGTATTATAATAGTATGGTATAATACTATATAAAATACTATATATATTTTAGATGTTTTTATAGTTCAGAATACTGTATATAGTGTATAACTATATAAATACTATAGAAAGTATTTTGAACTATAAAATAGCAACTGTAAAACAGAATTTAAATTTAGGACCAGATCTTTCTTTAAGAACTGTGCAAGAAGAATCCCTTTTTTTTAAATTATAAAAGCTGCAAACAGAAGCAAAATTATAGCCTGTAGTGTAAAACTAGAAACCCTACATAATGAAATGTTAGAAACAGTAACTGAGAAGCAGGTCTACTCAAATAATATTTTAAAAACAATTAAAATACAGTACCCAGAAAACATGGCACAAGAGACAGAAGAAACAGGTACAAAACCTGTGCTAGGAACACAGTCAGAAGTGCAAAAAACCAAAAAGGGAACCAATATAATAGAGTTTGGTACAACATGTAAATAAGTATTGCAACCAAAACTAAACGATCACTTATTTTTTGACAGTGAAAACACTAACAATTTAGTACCTTTCTAAAGGCTTTTAATCAAAGCCCTAAAACTGTGTCTGCTCTTAAATAAAAACAGTCTATGTGAATGCTACACACTGAAGTACAAAGCTTAAGAATTACCCTGCAAAATTGCACCAACATAAGCTTTCCATATTTACAGGATCTAAAAGTGACAGAACACAGCATGCTAGGCCTAGTTTATGACTCTACCCCACCTGTACTTAACCCAGGCCCAACAACCAAAAATTATTTTGTCAACACATGATAAACTTGGATTGCTTAGATACATTATGATGTTTAAATATTAGCTTCATGCATAAACCAAGACACAATATCTTTGACAGACAAGCATTGACAGGATACAAAAAGTGGTCTGCCCTGTGTAGGAGTGTACTTCCTCTTGAGCTTCCTCCCAAGACGTACCGATTCAATCCCACGTTATTACCTGGTTGTCAAGTCAACAGTGTGCTTAGAAATGGTCAAAACTGTAACTAAGAGTCACATTGCGCATACACTGCCTGCTCATTCTCCAAAATTGCACTCCAGTTTGGAGAGTAACCTCACTGAGTGAAAGGACACAGAATTAAAAAAAGAACAAAACAAAACAAAAAGACATTCAAGTAAACAGCAAGAACCAAATACTTTGAAAAGGTTTTTTGTAAACGTGTCATTCTACAGGGTTTTGCAGCATTGTTAAATTCGTTACTCATGGACAAGTACACACAGGTCACAACCCTTGTGACAGCCTGTCATGTGTACAGGCACGATGTAAGAGACAAGCTCAGTGAGGTGATGATCTACCCCTTCCCACATGCCTCGTCAGGTCCTTGTATGTTCAGTGTTATCATTCCCCTTCATGAAACAGAAATAACTTATGGATATCTTTATGAAGACAGAAATGAACTGAGTCCATTGGATAGAAAGTTAGTTGGTTATTTACATCTGGAAAGTAGTTTCACAGCAAAAGAAATCTACAGTGGGCCAGCTGGGATCCACAGGACCTTGTTTTGTTCTTGGTCGACAGTTGTCATAATCTGAGTGCAAATGCTTGAAAGGGCTCCTCCCTGGACAATGCCTGGAGAAGAAGAAACCCCACATACAAATGAGACTGGAACAGTCAAGAGTAATTACCAAGAACAGTCTTCTGCATTTATCTTCCAAGTGTTTATCAACAGATCAGAATTAAGCAACTCAACTCGGTATCTGACAGATGCATGTCTCTATTTTTAAAAAAATAAACAGAGCAAAGAGGTCAAGCATTCAATACACAATTTCTTCTGCTAGCTCCTAAAACAATCCAGGGAAGTCAAGGAACTGATGGCTATGATCAGCTAAGACAACTGTTTTGTAAGTGGCCTCCACTTACTATTTTCAGAGGCATCAGGTGGCAAAGTTTAAGTCTAAAGATGGTCAGAACCTGCTATAATAAACCTTCTCTGTTCAACATGTGGTGTTAAGAGTTTTATATTTACGGGGTAATATACATAGAGACTATAGCTGTAGCAACTAGACACTATTTACAAATATTAGAAGTAAATTATGAGCAGCTCACAGATCGCTAAGCTAAATAAAACAGCAGTGGTTACTACTCCAATTCTTATCATCAACTGCATTCAAGGAACAAAACACCAGCAAGCAACTCCCTGAAAATCAATTCACAAGACAAATTACCACCTTTTATTCTACCCTTGCTAAACATAAAAGGTAAAATGCCACAACTGCCACGAGAAGAGAACATATTGTCTTCAATACTTAAAAACAGAGGAACTTCATGACTTGAGAAATATGTCAGCCAGCAAAGCCTCTGGCTACAGCTATTACTAATGCTGAAAAAGTATGGAAAGTCTTACACAGCTTAAGGCATTATTTTTCTTTTTGGAAAGAGAAAATATGATATCACAAATATAGACTATTTGGCTCTGCAATATATATCACAGTTAATGATGTCAGGTGACTTGGGATACAGAACACAGCAACTGAAAAGGTCTATGAAAATTGACAAATGGCAGGCAAGAAATGATTCAGATTACACACTGTGTTCACAACTTGGTAGAGGAAACAAAGCCAACTTGAAAGTCATTAGTCAAAAATTGAAGTCCATAAAGTAGTTAAAGAGCACTTAGCAGTTAAAGACAGAGCGTGACCTACAGCTCCATGACTAAACTAACAGGTACAACATACTTCATACTTAGATCTATCTACATGCTATCTACAGGCTTATTTCATGTACAGTATTATAACTTCAACAAGCTTCAATGTCAATGCAATTTGAACACCAACCCTCTCTACCAGCACCTGGAAGTGTTGATGACAGCTGGAGTCTGCTGCACGCTGGCAACAACAGAAGGCACATATGAGAAGATACACGTAAGACTCTCGAACTGAGTGGCCCTTCCACTATCAGGGTCAAACTAAAATGCCACAAAATGACTAAACAAGAAGCAGAAGATAACATGTGGTGATGTAATTTGGCCGTGTGCATGTCAGGTTCTCTGTAGGTTTAGTATACATCATGTAAAAAACATTTGTATGGCTATTACATAATATTTTGTTGAGAACACATGACTTATCTCTGGATGCACTGAGGGAGCTCCAAACTTAACACACCTTTTTGTCTCTCTGCACTTGGCAGTTATGCCTCAAAATATTTCTGTAAGAATCCCATTGTTCAGGGGATGAAAAGTTAGGTTTTGGCTAGTTAGGGTGCTTGTTCTTCTATTTAAATGTTGTTGTCATGAACATCAATACATTCAAAAGAGGGGGGATAAAATTCTAGGTATGTGGAACCCCATGGAAATATACTCTGAAATGAACAGAGACTATCTCCAAACAATTTTTTTTCTCTAGTAACAATACTACAATTGATTTCATAATTTTATGAAGTTAAAAAGGCTTCTAAAGTTGAACTTAATTATTCCAAATTACAATGCATGCTCAAGAAACCTTGGACAATTTTTTTTACATGTTGAAACATTTAAAGCATGTCTCACAAATCAAGATCACACAGAATTACAGAAGGGTTGAGGCTGGAATGGACCTTTGGCAATCATCATTTGTCAGTTTAAATTACCAGGGGCTTCTGTTGTTTTGATTTTTACAATTTAGAAAACCCTTCTAGTCCTTACATGGTATAAAACTGACCACACTATGTCAAATCATCAAGTCTTGACCATACTTTCTATACCTGGCTAGTAATAAAACCTTTTCAGAACCTCTTTATATCATAAGATTATAATATTCAGAACAAAGGAGATTCCTATCTTGATATTTTCTCTCCTGGTAAAATAATATAACAGAACATGAGTTTGTCAAAAGGGAAGGCAGAATGAAAAAAACAAAGTGCTCATTGAAAGGACATTAATCTTTTGGATTAAAATGCAAATGGATTAAATTACCACTGTGTTCCCACTGAAAGTTTGATTAAATACTAACCTGTAAAGTACTTGCTATACTCCTGTTCTATTTTTTGAGCTGTCTCAAATTGTTCTTTGGAATGCTTTTGTGTAACTTTGTCCCTCAGGAAGATTGGGTCTTTTTGCTCTCTGGAAAAAAAAAAAAAAAAAAACCACAAACAAAAGAGAAAAATAAAAGAAACATCTTGTATAAGAATAAATTTTTAATGGACTTGAAAAGAGTGCCTCTAGTTGGGTGAATAAAAAAGCTAATTCACATGCAAGCAGACTTCTAGGCCCAGAGTGCCATCTACTGTGTTTCAGCAGTATCAGCAGAGTCATCAGGATCATTTCAGTGCTAACGAATTTATTTGCTCTCAGACCAAGATGGTATTGCTTTAAAGTTTCAGAGCCTGGAAGGCAGTAGATGAAGAAAGAATATAATTTTTTCCGGTTCATATGAATTGGATCATTATCTGATACACATACCAGTACTCTTTACAGAAGCTGGGCACAAGTATCACTCTTCTAAGGGCTTGTGAATTATCAAGCATCAAGCAGATACAGTACGTCCATGTTATCATATCTATGACACATTTTTGAGAGGCCTCTTTTTCTATTATACAAGCTCTTTAAAATAAAATATGGATAAAAACCCAGAGAAATACAAATGCCAAAATAATTATTTAAAAATATAATTACTAAACTAACCTATCATTGCTGTGGTGCATTTCAGAGAATGCCAATAGAGCTTGTGCTATATTGAAAAGGATATGTTTGGACAAACTTTTAGTGCATACAACAGGCAGACAAAATGTGCCACTGCAACTCATACTGATGACTGCCAGAAATCCTTGCTTGACTAGTTTGACCATTGTCCCTTTCCAAAAAAATGAAACAGCTATAGTGGTCACCATTTCACTTCCAAAGGGGGTCAAGACATGCCAGTTCCATTTACCATTTAAGCACACAATCCTACAGTGGTAATGAAATACACATCATTGCTCTATGTCCTGTTTCTACTTTAAAGTAGTGATACTTATCTTCTTTATTAAATAGATAGTAGTCAAATTTACCTACAGATCAAGAATATAAGAAGTCTTCAACTTTAGAAACAAAGATAGCACAAGTATAAGATCTCTTAGCAATATTCATGTTGGGAGATTATTTCCCTTCTTGTCAAATCAATCTATCAAAATATGTGAAGGCTTTTTCAAACATCAGGGGAGAGACTGGCATTTGCACGTCCTGTGCTCTCTTCCTGGCTATATTCAAATAGGAATGTCACAATTCGTGAAAGAACACAGCCTGAGAAGACCACAGTATATGCACTGTGTGGCAAATGGGGACTTCCCTTGCTTCATTTACTGGAGAACGGAGGTGGGAAAGCTGAGGCTATGAATCAATTGGCACTGCATCCATACCCTTGGCCCTTCTAAGAAGACGAAGCAACAGCTCTTGGTCATGGCCAACATGTCAGTGGATCCATCCGTATCAGTCTTACAATGTACCACAAAGGTTAGCAGGAAAGATTCTCCTAATGGACATTCAGTTTGGTCTCCATGGATTTCTTTGAAAGATTCACTTAATTGTCATGCAATCCAAATAAAGCTAAGACCATATACCTCACAGTGGGTTTTATAAGGACTATTTTCCCTGTTTTACAAAATCACAGAATTCTCTGAGTTGGAAGGGACCCAGAAGGATCACTGAGCCCAGCTCTTCCGTGAACAGCCCATACAGGGATAGAACCCACAACCTTGGTGTTATTAGCACCAGGCTCTGACCAACTGAGCCAAGCTCAGTGGCTGTCCTAAGAGATATGACTAGATGAAATAAACAATAAAGGTAAATTTAGATTACTTTAAGGTAGAATAAACATCCCTGAACTATACCCCTCACAGACTTACTTGATTTGTTTAGCATTTTTGTAGCGAATAAAAATTACAATAGGGTAGATATGAACACTGTGGAGCCGTTCGATGGCATGAGGAGCGATGTCAAGCAGACAATGACAATCCTAAGATCAAATGTAAATGCAAAACACTCATTCAGTTAAAGAGCACAAGCACACATGCAAATCCCCCATTTCTTCCCCTACTTAAATCATAGCAACCCAACAAAGTTCTGCCATACATATAGCATTTTGGGACTACTGCACTATTTGTACCCAAAGCATTTATAACAAAAGACGAAAACCTGCAAGAAATTGCATTCATAGTACCAAAAGCATGCATTGATAGAAATAAAAGTATTTGAAGAATTTATGGAATGAAAACTCAGATTGAAATATATGCATTACACTTTTTCAAAGTTTAAATATTCCTATTAATTTTCTATTTCAGAAATCATGAGCAAACACAAGTGTTAATAGGACTTTCCATGTGGTTTGATTGAAAACTGTAAGCAATTAACACACTTCAGTTAACATCTGTCTCCAGGATTATGATGATGTTTACATTCTATATGACTACATTACATGGAATAGGTAAAAAAATTAAATCCTTTTTTGGAGGGGATAAAGGATGGAAGTTAAGAAAATTATTTCTAACTTTATTTAGTAATACTGTAAAAGAATACAAACATTTCTCGTTTCTATAAAGGTGAGCACATTTTAAATAGTCACATGCAAAAGTAAGGCAAGTTTTATTTTATTTAGCAGCAGTTCTCAGAATGTCTTAAAGGATGATGCTGCTAACATAATTTCCACCCCCCAACATAAGTGTGCAAATTGTACAAGAACTACAGCAGTAAAATTGACTCACTTTTTCTGTTATCTCTTTTATTGAAGCTACAGTTGTCACATCAAAATGTCCACTCCTCCGTTTGTAATCGATGAACAGACAATCCTTCACACCTCGCTCAATGGCTTGCTGGGAAGCTTTCATAACCTCTGTTCATAGAAGAGATCCCCTTTCATTACTATTCCTTAGGCACAGAACAAGGCTAAGAAGACAGTGTCTGGAAATTCAGATTCTTGAGGCGTTACCCATCTTTGTGTTGTCATTTTGTCAATTTATACAGATGTTACTACCATGTATACTAAGCATGAATAAATTAGCTATATTGGCACACTTACCAAGAGGACATCTGCAAAATTTTCCAGGGGATTCTTTGACCAGCATGTCTTTCACAGCATCAAGTAAAGGTCCTAGAATAAGGACAGGCCTAGGGGAGGTACAATCCACTTTCTGGACACGCTGATAAGCCAAACTTGCAGAATCTACACACACAGAACACATTTATTTGTAAAAGGATACATTTCCAGGCATTTCTCAAACAAGCAGAAGCATCCTTATAGGAATTATGATAAGACCTCCTCTTCAAGGGAGGGCAAAGGGCCCTTGCCAAATACAAAATATGCTCAGTTATTATTGACATTTTCCCACTTAACAGCTGAAACTAGATATTTTTCTAATTGAACCTATTGCTCAAGTAAAAAAATTGAACTCCTACCTTCTCCAATCTTCCCTAAAATTGTAAACAATACACAATATTTGAGATCTCTGGCCTGATTTGTTGAGCTCTTATTGTAACCAACATGATTTTTCTAAAGGAGTGAAGAAATAAAAGTTAAGATTTTGAGTAGTGCACAGGATTTCTGTCTAGGCTAGACCTGGACCAAAATTAAATAGTTGAAAGGAAGATCAAAACCATGGATCCAACAGAATCGCCCTCTCCAAATGAAATAGTAATGCTAATAGGTCCAGGAAGAAATTACAAAAATATTTTAAAACACACTGGCTTGTAATTTAATATATTTTAAAAATTCTTATTAGAGATAATGATCACCATTTGTATTCAGAGCAATTAGAAAGTAACATTATTGTTTTGCTGTGCTACACCTGATTAAAAATTAAAGAGAAGTAAAGCCAAAGCCCTCCCAAGTATAACAAAGGCACTTGCCATCCAAGAAAGGAATCGAGTCTGTACTGATTGTATCTAGAGCCAATAAATCTTTTCCATCTTTGGAACCACTTCGCTTATGTTTATGCTTTCTTCTGAAGAATGACCTCCTTGCTGCTGCTGACAATGTCTTAGTTGAACTGTTTTCATCTTTAGCCTCGGACATGCTGTGTCTCCTGTAGAATTCCTGATCCATCCTAGAATAAAATGGACAAAATGGCTGGTATTTAGTGTTATATTTTTAATACTCTTGGCAGTATCACAGCTGGTGATGCTGTGCCTGATGCACCCCAGGATATTGTCATTTCTAGTTTACTATTTAGCAGTATTAAAACCAACTTGATACAGCAGTATATTTAATTCAATTTATATTAAAATATGCCATCCTTAAAATGACATATCTAAGAATTAGCATCTGCCAGAAAGAACAGAAGCAAACAAGTCTTTTATACCACATCTCACTAGTCAGACTTGAAAAGACAAATACTTTTTAAAGATGAATCCTGTAACTGAGGTCACTTACATATATTTACTGGGAATCTGCCCTCTTTCCAGCTTCTGAGCATTCTCATCTAGCTGCCAAGCCATCCAACAACCAAAATTTCCCTGTGGTAGAGTGTCATCCACATATAAAATATCATCTTTCTTAAAGCTTAAATCCTGCTCCATCTCTGCCACACGGTCATAAAGTGTTCTGAAAAGAAAGATAAACAGGCTCTGCAACTGGTCTCCATCAACTCAAGGGAAAAAACCCCACCTTTTCTGAAAAAAGTTAACAGATTAGTGGCATTCTCTACATCTCAAGAGCACAAGAGGGGAAAGTGAAGACTTCTATACTAGACTGTGTACTTGCTGTCAGGGAATAGCTGGATAAATCAGTAAATTTCAAATTTAAGAAAACATGGCAAAATTTATGTTCTCTCTCTCTGTATGGCCAGCATATTATCCTAACAGCCTTATGCTGTCATTACCAGTCATGCCAAATACCTGATGTAGAATCCATCTCCAGGAAGCTCTTTTATCTTATTAAACTCTTCTATTCTGTATTGAGTCTTTATTTTGATGTTTTCTCCAGGCTTCAGCATTTCAAGATAAGCTTCCTCAGCTGTTTTATTTCGCATGTCAATGGACCCATACTGCAAAACACAAAAATAAATATTTAGATGTGAAATTGTATTTGAACAAGCAACAGAAGTAGGTGAGCGTGTAAAACATGCAAAGTGAATTTGTTTTTGTCACTTGAAGATTCTATATATGTCTTGTCACTTGAAACTCAAGTGCAGTTTGCACCTTAAGATGTCTAGTGGGAGACTGAGACATTACAGTGGAAAAAAAAAACTCAAGTGCAAGCAGCAGACAGGTACTGTGAGAGAGCACTTCTTGAAAAAGTTTACCAAGTGTAAGCTGAGAATCAGAAAATTCACTGAAAAAAATTGTGTCAGTGGTTACTTGTATCTGAAAAGCTCACAAAGATGGGTTTATCATCTTAAGTCTTGACAAGTAGATAAATATTCTCATTTAAGATACAGAAAGCAGAGTCAAAGACACAGTACATGGCTTTCCCTAAACTCTCATTAGAATTTCATAGTGGCAAGATCAATATTGTTCTCTGTTTTCCAGGGTCTTTCATATCCTTGCCTTCCTCCTACATACAGCAATTGGATTCAATCTTGTCATTTAGATGAAGGGAGCAGGTGTTAGTAATTACAGGTAGACATATGTGAGTTCATCCAACTTCAAAGTATCTTGCGATATCAACAGTGATAGTTCTCCAGGTTCACATCATCCAGCTACTCATGTGCTGCAGCCAAAATGCAAGTTGGCTTTCTGACCATTCTTATCTGGGCTTTGTGGCAGGAACTCAGCACTCACAGAACATTCCACACTGTGGGACAGCACAGCACTTGGCACCTCCCTCTCTACACCACCCCAGCCATTAGTCAGCACACTGCAGACATTTCTGAAGTGCTTACCTCAAGTATCATGTCACCCAAGACTAGTCCATCAGGTCCTTTTGCTGGGCTGTCATCGTCTACATCTGAGACAAATATTCCATACAGGTTTCCACCACATATCTGGATCCCAAGATCAACTTGGGATTTTTTAACAACAACAATTCTAGGTTCAGGGGTCCTTTTGTTTGTGTCCACAGGGCCCCTTTTGACAGAAAGAAATAACACATATACTAGAACTGAAAAACTTGCCATGCATAAAATCAACTTGCCATCTGAAGAATATATATTTATATAAATATTTTTCAGAATAGGTCACCTACAGACAGAGTCTTAAATGACAAATCACCTTTTCATCTAAACCAATCGTGCAGAAAACTTTCTTCACACCTTGCAGATCTCATGTTTCAGAAGCAGTCTGAAAACATGTACACTTCTATCCTGGGGTCCACTTAGCTAATCTGCTGACTTATTTCAACCAGACATAGCATTCACAGAAGTACACTTCCTTATTTAATACCCTGACCATTTATTTTCCTTTAAGATAAAAGCTTCACTCTCTACCTTAAGGAATTGCGGGGACTTGTAGTTGGAGTGGTTTGTTTGGATGGGGGTGTCATTGTCCCTTCGTCCTGCTCGCTCACAGTGTCGATTACGGAATGATTGTCAGGCGTTGCAGCTCCGCTGCCTTGAGGGGTGGAATGATTGCTCACAGGTTCCAAGCGAGAACTACAACAGGGGAAAAAACCACAACAAAAGACTGGTGGGTTAATGCCAAATATTTTGCACTTAAAATTTTTAATTTGGCTGTAAGTCAGTTTTAGAGTAAGGGAGATAAAATCCAAACCCTATAATTCAAATGGGCATGCCAAAAAACATATGTTCAGTGTAACTCTATAGGAAAGGCAAAGCTCTGTTTTGAAGTGTGATCGTGCATCAAAATAGGATGGGTAATTTCACCAGGTCATATGCCTTCTCTAATTAATATTGGAAATTTCAATTTTGGGAAAAAAAAAGAAGTAAAAAAATATTTGAAGTATTAAAATTTCATAATCCTAGGAAGAAGTCATCTTGGATTTTATTTTAGTATACTTAGGGATTATGCGCAAACAGAAGAGAAAATATATTTAGATGCATCAAGCATTCTTCTTTTGACAAACATGTGTTCATACATTATTTTCCAAAGCAATCACACTTATTAGCACATATGTGCTCACGTTTGCAAACATATTAAGCATATAGAAGTTAGCTACTATCTAAACAATTGTGTGTACAGGGGAGCTGTCATTTTCCAGGTCTAACCAGCCTTACCTTGACCGTGAGTGATTGCCAAGCTGATACATGTGTGGGTTATACTGAGCCAGAATAGTGATGGTGTCACACTGCTGCCCAATGATTAGTCGAGCCTGTTGCTCTGTAGCATTTCTCAAATTTATTCCATTAAACTATGGAAAAATTGCACAAACCAGAATGTCAGCTTTTCAAATGGAAACCAGCAAGCTCATTGTTTTCTAATTAGTGTTAATATCTAAATGCTCACTTATTCCCACTGGAGAAAATGGGAGAATGAAAATGTTGCTACAGAGTGATTTCTAGGGTTTACTCCTTGGAAGGGATCATCATAATTTTCAAGTATTTTGTAACCTGACAAGAAGTTTAACAATATTTTCTCTGTTAAAAGACATACATATTCTGAGATGTGCTATAATTTGATATCACTGATTAAATAAAAGTTGGTTCAGATCAATATGAGTAAATTCAGAATTTAAATTCAGATCTATCCAGGTCTCTTTTAGTATCAGAAACACATTGTGCAACAGAAGGTGCTTTAACATGATGTTACACTTACAAAGCAGTTCTCTACTTTACAAAATGCTATCTATGTGTTTATCTAACACAATAGGGAGAAACATTATTGAGCCTACATATGTAATTTTTTAACCAGGTATCTTAGCTAAGAATATGGCACAGCAACAACAGCATGAAACTTGGTAAAAGCCAGCTGCTTGAAAATGTACTCCCCTTACAAGGCAG